GAGGATCGAATAGAGGTGCAAAAATCAATGAGATTGAAGCTCGAAAAATACGGGTAGAAGTGCAGCTGTGGGTTTTCTTAGCATTCGATTCAGAAACCCACTAATCCATTAGGAGGCATGATTGTCCGGTAGCATAGCCTCCCAGAATGGGCACTCATGTCGTTGAGGAGGGGGGCGGAATGAAGTGAGTGAGCCACTCATAGAACTTGGGATTAAGCCTTGGAAAGGGCAGGAGTTCGGGGAGAGGACGGAAGCGGCCTTCGTTCTCCCTGGCGTTTTTCCCCTCTCCTAAGCTTGGTTTTGGTTTCAGAATTTAGAGGCTTTTTTTTAAATGCCTTGTTCTGAATGTCTCCCCCGAGGGAATGGGCGACCAAAAGCTCTGCATCCGCTCCATCCCCCTCCCTTAAGTGATGTTCTACCCATACTTATTACTAGTGTAACCTTCACCTCCACAAAATGATCTGCGAAAGATCTCTGGGAAACAATCTTTTGGGCGTTCTAATAATGCTTGCAGTGGCATTATTAGGTAGGAAGGTTAAATTAATATCTACTTACTTAAGAAAGATTGAGGTGGACAAACCAGGATTTGTCATTTTAGGACGGAATTGAGATCGTCGAATCGGAGAAGATGAAATTCGAGTCACTGGAAGACGGAACTCAACGACTCCATTTGGCCAATGTGGACTTCTTCAGTGAAGGGATACTACCGTTGTGTGGCCACCAACGAGCACGGCACTGCCTCGACAAAAGCTGAACTTGTCATTGACGGTACGTCAACTTCGAAATGTAATAGGAATTTCGAAAAACGGCCAGTTAGGGAAAAAATTAGAAGAAGAGAAGAAATTGGAAGAGTTTCCAGAGAGTTTTCTTCAATAATTGAGAGCTTAAGGTCATTAAGCGACGATATAGAATGAATTGTGAAACGACAGCTGGCAGGGTGAATAACGGTCGAGGAAATTCCTCGACCATGGCTCTGTACTGTGCGAGAGTAGTGTCGAGAGTGAATGTACGCGCGGAGAGCACAGACGGCTCGCGTGGCGAGAGTGAATGTCCGCGCGGGAGAGCGTGACTGAACAGGCGAAAATCCTCGACGAGTCGTCGACAAATCCTCGACCGATTTTCACCCTGGCAGCTGAGCGCTTTTTGCTAGAATTGGGCTACTCTCAAAATTCAAATTATCAACGAAAAGAGCTTGAATTGGTTTAGGATGTTTGTTTTTTGTGAAAGATTTTTTAGACTAAAAAACAAGGAAGTATAGGCAAAATGTATGCGGATCTAGCACCTCAGTTCCTTCTCTGTTTATCAACATGTGATACAGTTTGACAAGAAAAATAGAATATTTATCAC